TACCGGGAATATACAGTACTGTACTATACCGGGAATATACTGTACTATACCGGGAATATACAGTACTGTACTATACCGGGAATATACTGTACTATACCGGGAATATACTGTACTATACCGGGAATATACTGTACTATACTGGCTTTCCATTAGATGCTGGAACATTGCTGGTGGAATTTGCTGCCATTCAGGTTAGGTGTTGATGTTGGGTGATCAGGTCCCTGTCTGTGAGCTTGTGTGGCCCCAGCTTCACAGCTGAACTTGCTCCCAGATGTTTCCACTTCACAAACACTTCACCAGGGCAGCTCTAGCAGGACAGACATGTGGAGAGCCGACTTGCTGGAAAGGTGTCCAATGGTGTCCAGTGGTGTCCAATGACGGTGTGGGGCTGACTAACCTCTTCTGTATGACCCCCCCCCCCCCCATTCTGCCCCCATTGTTTGATGCTGCAGATTGCCTGACTGTGTGCTTAAGTATACACCTGTATGTCAACAATGGGTGTGGCCTATGTAGTCAATTCCCATAATTCCTGTGATAGTCCACATTCTTTTGGCCATATAGTGTATTAACAGCTACTGTTATACTTTTCAGTTGTGACAGCATGTGTCTCACATTTCAACTTCAATCAGCAATGGTTGCCTGGGATACAGACTGTGGGATATTCTATTACTGAACCCAGATCAGTTTTTGAGGTACTAGTCAATGACCAGCCTTCTACAGCTGCACAGTTGCAATTGGTTCATGCACTCTGTAGAAATCACAACAGTATTATGGCGTTGGCTTCCATCCCATATTTCCAAGTATTTTTAAATAAAACCAGAGGTATTTCACTTCCCCCCGAACATACAGTAAGCTTCCCTTTGATAGAATACATCATTTTAACAAATATTAGTGATAAGTGGTATTAATAGTCAATATTATCAGTCAGTCATAATTCAATCCTGCGTACTGTAAGGATCCGTGTCTCAAGTTCGCGGCTATTTCAGGCCGTAAATCGGCCGGTACCTTGCAAATCCCCTGGCAGTCCCGTCTCCGAGGCCGTTTCCTGACCGTGATGGTGGCACAAACCTGAGGCTGCCTTTATAGGTCTGGTTCCGCTTACCTCGAAGCCTTCGCACATGACCACCGTCTCCCCATTGGCCGGTCCTGCAGTGCAGTTTGTTCATAAATCATCGCTTTCATAAAATTCCACAACGACAAGACAAGCACACGACACGGCTAAAAGAAAGGCTAATGCTAAATGTGGGGTTTCGGGATACGGGTGCTTTTCTGCTGGTCGCGAGAACCATAAACGTCATTGAATCTGTGCATTTTGCCGGCTTGGCGACTCCCATACTTTTTGTCATCATCCCAAAGAAAAAAGCCTTGTGGAGTTAGGGTTGCATGTCTTCTGGGTTGTATTGTGATTTAGCGTTAGCGTCACTCAAGGTAAACACAAGTCTGGTGAAAGCTATTCAGTCCTTGACGTCTATTTGAACCTGGACGTCAGGTTGGGTCGTTGGTTGCATGTTGGCCGGATGCAAAGTAATAACTAAACCTGACATTGAAATTATAGGTTGTGTGTAGGACAAGCAAAAGAGAAAAAGTAGATGGAAGAAGAAAAAGAAGAAAAGTTGTGTAGAACGGGGAATAAAGAGATGGAGGAATTCTTCTTTTACTTTTCTTGCAGGGTTAGGTATAGGGAACACTGAAAGGACTCCCCCAGTATCAGAGAGAGAGTTCCCATAAGTCGAGTGAGCTTATTGTGCAGCTTGGAGGTGAGAACACCGCAGCCAGAAGGGGGCGCTAATTAACACGCAGGAAGAAGCGGCATTAAAACATGGCTAAGAGATACAAAAGTGGGACGAGACGCATCTGTGCAGGCGGGAGCTCTGAATTTGATTGGTCCAGAGAGATTTGATGTGCTGGATTGGGTCTGGGGGGTGGGAGGGGGTGACACGCTGGTTTATCTTGACAGATCATCAAGGTTGGAAGAGCAGCGATGGGGGGAGGGGGTGATAGAGGGGCGGGTTTTGTGCCTTAGAAACTGGGAAAGTGGCAGTAGGCCTCAAGGGAGGCCAGTAGGATGTAGAAGAACCAGAGGGAGACGAAGAGCAGCGACGTGACCAGCTTGGAAGTCCGCGGCCCCCCCAGCTCGCCCCCGGCCACGGAGGCGCGGCGGCGGTACAGCAGTGTTAACACGGTGACCAGCGCCAGGATGGTGAAGAGTGTGACGGAGAAGGCCAGCGAGCCGGGCTCCACGCGGAACTGCTCGCCGCGGCTCTGCCAGTAGACGGCGGCGATGGTCCAGGCCACGCCGATGCCCAGGAAGACATTCACTGCGTTGCTGCCCGTCACATTGCCAATGGATGCGTCCGCGTACTGGTCCTGAATGGCCGCCACCTTGCTGGCGAATGTGTCTGAGTGGGGGGGGGGGTGAAAAAAAGCCCAGAAAAGCCTTTAAGAAATAAAGCTTTCCTTGCACTTCACCCCACAAGCTAAAAACAGCCACAAACTCACTCCGGCTGCTCTCAGGCATTTGCTGTAATCAATAAATCTGTATCTCTAAGCGCACAAGCTTTTCCTCTCATCTGCGACAGAAAACACTCGCAAATTAGCATCATTTAGTTGCATAACGGAAACCTTCTTCCAAAGTCATCTGCAAATCCTACTCCGCATTCATATTTGAAAGTTTTCTACTATACTGAAGCACTTCAGTTTGACTGCTATGCTCAACGGTAGGGTTCCAGACCCAACTGGACTTGAACCTACAACCTTCCAGAAAGAGATCGTGGTCCAATTTACAACATACTTTATTTAGCCCATCTAAGGTAATGTACAATTGAGAAAACTGAGTCAGGCAATACCGGGAGTGGCTGGGGTTAAGGGTCTTGCTTAACAGTGAAATCGCTCTGCCAGCCATGGGATTTGAACCTATGACCTTCCAACGACACAACGTCCAACGAAAAGTTCACTAACCTGGCACAGAGGTACCAAGAGCCACGAACACCACGGCGGTGACCGAGTCCTTCAGGCCCACCGTGCAGCCGAAATGGGAGGCCAGGTCGCCGGTGACGGCAGTCAGGACACCGATGAGCGAAATGGACACCACAAAGCAGGCCCAGCCATTCCAGTACTCAGTCGGGGGCACGAAGGCGAACAGAACCTTCCAGAACACCGTCAGGAAGTGCATGATGTAGTCGAAGCAGGAAGGGAGGCGCTCCTCTCCGCTCTCCTCCTCGTCGCTGTCGCCTAGGAGACCGGGAGGAAGAGATTTTGACGTGTCGCCGCGGTAGCCGGATTGGGAAGGAAACAATATCTGCACTTGACTCTCTAGAAGGCAGCACTAAGAAACTAGGATGGTGCAGGAAAGTTATCATGTATTTACCATAAGAGTTGCTTAGATGACACTTTTCTCCAAAGTCATTTACGAGTTTTATAGCCAAGTATACATCTGGTTGTTTTACTGGTGCCAAGGAGGTACCTCCTACAACAGCTGGACCTCCGAGACATGACCATCCAATCGTAAGTCCCGTCTTTTAACTGCAACCCGCTGCCCCATTCAAAAATAAGAACTTCAATAAGTTGTACTATAGGGAAGATGGTAGAATGTTCCAGACATAGACTAATCTACCAAAGGGTGACCAGTTCAAGACTCAGGAGAGGCTCAGCTGTGGTAACCATAAGTGGGGAGCTTAACCCAAACACCAGACGGTATTCCTGGACAGAACCATGAGTTGACCTGGATATGGAGCATTTTGTGGCTGGTGTAAGTACCGGACGTGGCGTTAAGCTGTTTGTCAGGGCTTGGGTCCCTTTGGTGAGACAGTAGCAGTGGTTTGTGTCCTGATTAGCATACCAGAAGTGGGCTCTCTCAGCATAGTAACCGGGTTCCCTGTGCCTCATCAATACCATAAGTGTCTGGTTACATGTTTCATTCAGTATCATTTAGTTATAGGCTTGACAGACTGCTTTGTTCCTGCGTTTGACAGCTGCAGGCCTGGCGAAGGGCAGCCCAATATTGTTCAAAGTAATTAATGCCTCATTTACATATTCCCGTTCAAACACTTACTTCAGCAAAGAATTAAAAGAGCTGAGATAGACGGAAACGAGGCAGACTCTGCGACTTCAGAGGACTGAAGCTCCTCTCTTTGTGACTCTGAACTTCGCTAAAGTGATTCCCAGTTTCAGAATGGGACATTTGTAACCATGCATTCAACAAATTCCTCAACCACTGCGCCATCTGGTGGCCAATAAAAAAATAATGTGTATGCGAACATGACTGCGGGAGTTTATCATCTTTATCCGGCGCCACTGACAAGCAGGAAATGGACGAGAATGAATCTGGGGGGGGGCTGGTACGGGGGGGGGACCGAGTTTCCTTCCTTCGTTCCTGACGTAGGAGCACAAGAGGCCGACTCACCAGCACTGACAGTGACGGCACTGACAAACTGCTCTCGCCAGCTGCTGCTTCCCACCACCAGGGCCAGGTTGGTCTTCTTAATCAGCTTGTCTACTGTGTTCTGCAGGCACACACACACGCGCACACACACACACAACACAGACATGTCAAACTCAGCAAGTGTTGTAATTCATCTATACATCCATCCATCCATCCAACCATCCATCTATCTGTCCATACATGTTCTAACCTCAGGGTTGAGGGACTGTCACCTATGCAATTTAAGTTAAAATACAGATGTCAAAGCATGCACGGTCGCATTTTTTAAATATAAATGATGCTAGTGTCAGATGTGATTTCCCCTCTCAAAGCGGCATTTACACGGCGAAACTCCGCTGCTAGCAGGCGTTGGGTGGCCTGTCATAATTCTTGGGGGATTCCTGAGCAAACGCTCAGGTCGGTTCAGCCGCACATCGCCATGCAGCGCATTAGACAAGCTCACGCATGTCGAGCAGAAAGGGCCATGCGGAACATATCACAGCACGGCGCAGGAAAACTCATTTCTGGCATGCCGTCCACGAAACGACGCTCCCCGGGGGGGGGGGGTCAGCGTATCAGTTTGTTACCTTAAACTCGTAGGACTCCTCGATCACCACCTCCAGCCTGGTGTGCTCCCCCAGGCAGGGACAGCCCATCTTGGCCACCTCCTCCTCGGCCCCCAGCATCGGCTTGTTGTCATTGGTGTCTCCTGGGAAACGGGGGCGGAGACAGAGGCACGGGTGAAGCGGCCCACTGGGCCGCTCATGGGAAATCCTTTGGAATTTTTACCCAAATACACTGAGAGGTTCGAAGTGGGCGGGGCTTCAAGACTCACGATAGTTTAACGACGACTGCGAAACCCAAAAATAAAAAACATTATAATGGCTGACTTGACACAGACCCTACCACTCAGATTTAATTCTTTAACAGGTGCTTTTATCCAAAGCAATATACATTTGTAAGAAATCAGGGTGTAAGAGTCCCTAGAGCAATTGGGGGTTTAGGGTCTTGATCAATGACTCAACAGCATTGAATCAACAACCTTCCAATCAGAGGCACACAATTGTACCATTACAGGAAGAAAGATGGGGCTTGAAAAGCATCCACACACTGTCATCCTAGAATGTTTAGGCTGCCTCCCATTGGTTACCCTTAGTAGCTCCCATTGGGTAAAAGCAGTGATTGACAGCACACACTAATCCCACCAACTGATTTCAAGGCCCTGTTCATTACATGACATAGCACTGGGAAATATACTAATGTGATTTATTGGAATTTAGGAGGAAGTGCACAACCTCACAAAGGAGACAAATTCCAGGTGTCCATAGCTGAGGTTAGATTTGAACCTACAACCCTGGATGTTTGAGACAGTGAGAGCACAGTGCATCCCACCCACAGAGCAACCATGCTGCCCTACCAGAACCCCATTTAATAAAACCTTATAATAGATCCAAAATTGAATGGCACAAGGAAGTATATTAAATTAGAGCCGCATCACCAGTAAGCTAAATAATTAATGCAAAATGTGTTAAAAGTGCCCTGAAGACAATGCAGTAATACCCCTGCAGTTCAGACCAATCGCTCTCTGTCTTAATGAAATTCTCCTCGGGTAACAAACGATTCAAATTTATAATTTTTTTTTCTAAATATGCTTGTAGTTTTTAATAGTTTTTTTTTTCTAAACTCTCAATGTCATATCCCTACTTTTCTTTTTTTTTTTTTCCCACCTGTCCCTTTGAGAATTGCGAAATTATTTTTGCCAACTTGCATGGTGCATGATGGGAAAGTTCAGTGGAAAACTTTGTTTACAGTCAGGTATATTCAGTGGAAGGGGGGCTGTGTTTCACAAAGGGGCGATGCTAGGATTTTATGAGGCGGGAGGGGCATAAGAGGGGTCATAATTCGTACAGAGGGACCGACCTTACCATTAGCCAATGATATGTTTTGAATCGGTGAGTGACATGAAAGGGGGCATTCTCGGACCAATCAGCTGCCAGCTGGGACATGTGGCCCCACCCCTGTGTACACCCTTGCACTCACGCAAACCCGGTGCGTCCCCAGCTCACCATGCCTCTGTCCGATCTCCAGCAGCACCGGCTCCCCCAACACGATGGTGAACGTCTTGTTCTTCTCATACTCTTCGTCATCGATGATTCTTATCTCGATCACCTTCCTGTGGACGGAGCACAAAGTAAGATTCCCCACGCAGTTAGACACTCAACCATCACTCAGCCAGCACTACTCCCATCCTCCCTAGTGCCAATCAACCAGTTAGGGATACAAGAGGCTGCCTATGGCGCTGCCTACAGGCAGGGGGCACCAGCAGCGGAGCAGGAACCATTCAGGTGAGACCTCAACATCTCAAGGAGCCTAAGAACCGTTAATGAAGCACTAGTTTACAGCAAGGCTTCTGTAAATAGCTATGAACCATCTTTATCTTCCTTAATGTTTATCTCAGCGTCCTAGAAAAGAAAGTCAGTCCAACCTACTGGCTCCTCAAGATGATCTGATAAAAAAAGTCCATAGAAGATCTACAGTAGAACTCTAAACAAAAGAGGAGATAGATAGATGGATAGATAGATAGATAGATAGATAGATAGATAGATAGATAGATAGATAGACAGATAAAACCTGAAAAACATTATTAAAACCTGAAGGAAATTGCAGGTTTACAGTAGCACATGCATACATGCATATTTAGACACTAAAAAGACATTTAGACATTTATGGGGAGTAATAGTAAATATTATTATAATGGATAATAAACATCAATAAATAGTAACAGTGTGAAGAATGTCAGGGAAAGCATACTGCAGAATTCCATAGTAACAGCTCAGAAATAAATATTATTGCAAAGCGGGTTGTACAGTGAGTGAGTGAATGGTGTGTGAATGTTCTGCGAATGCACTTAAGTGGTTCTGGTCCATTCAGATGGCTGATCTGGGCCGATAGTCCTGCTGAACTTTACAGCAGATTCATTCATTGGAATATTTTTGCTAAGAAAAACTAGGTTGAGACGTATCTCAGTTTGAGGTTGGGACTGATACCGATTCTTCATGCAGAAATGAAAGTGCAAAATCCTGAATCCCCCCCGCCCCAAAGGGGTGTGAATAGAAGCTTTCCGCTAGAAAAAGCCGTTCCTGTTGCGGCAGCCGTGCGCGATACGAGCCTGCGGTTCTCTGTCGCCCCGACGCGTGTCTTTGTGATGCCCGACCCCGGCGGCGAGCCGCGCGACTCGACAAAGACGGCGGAGAGGAACTTCAGGGAAACAGAGGGAAGAGGAGACCAACAGCCAGCAGCCGAGCGGTCGGGTGGTGCGGAGGGAGATTCGCTCTCAGAGAGCGCGCCTGCATTTAGGAACGCTGAACCAGCATGGTGTTTTCTTTTCCAAATTCAGACCGAGCTAAAAACAGACATCATCTAAATTCATGAAATGTTCAGACCAAAGTCTAATAAGGTGTCTGTTTATAGGGCGGCACGACGGCTCAGGCCAAAGACCGCGAGGGCCTGGTGGCCCACCTAGGGGGTACTGTAAGGGCAGACTCCAGGGGGCCCTGAGCAGGACATGCGGCTGAAAGATGGATGTATGGAGACTACGGCCTTGTAGCAATTTAGATCATAAAAAAACAGACACACCTACTATTTATACCAATTATTTTCACTCACCACCTGCATAAAGTAGTTATAATTTCATTTTCAACAGACTGCCATGCTGTAATATTTCTAAGTATAAAAAATAGGCATGCTCAGTACAAGATTAAATAAGAGTACCCACACTGAGCGGAATATGAAAACTCAGCATGGTGGAGAAAAAAACGTGTATGCAACATACAATAACTGACTTTGAGTAAGAACAAATTCTTCCTGGTATGACAGAACAGCATAGCCTATTTTATTTATTTATGCTTGTTTATTTGGGGTGGGATTGGATTTCTGCACTTAGAGACTGGTAAGATCATACAGTAACCAACAGTTATCCTCACAACAGTCTGCTATTCTGAACAAGGGCATAACTTTGGGTTGAGCATTGAGGGGTTGAGGTCTCTACCCATTTATTGGCTGGTTTTGATTATTGGGGGGGTTACAACTGCCCCATCTCCTCTATAATTTATGTCCATGATTAAGCATGTACTGAGCATGCCCACTACAGTCTGCTATTGTGAGGTCATAAATTAGATACTGAGCATGCTCACGACAGTCTGCTCTTATGAGGTCATAAATTCGATACTGAGCATGCTCACGACAGTCTGCTCTTATGAGATCATAAATTAAATACTGATCATGCTCACTACAGTCTGCTCTTATGAGATCATAAATTCGATACTGAGCATGCTCACGACAGTCTGCTCTTATGAGGTCATAAATTAAATACTGATCATGCTCACTACAGTCTGCTCTTATGAGGTCATAAATTAGATACTGAGCATGCTCATTACAGTCTGCTATTGTGAGGTCATACATTAGATACTGAGCATGCTCACGACAGTCTGCTATTGTGAGGTCATAGAGGAACTACTAAGTATAGACACTACATGTTACACAGCCTGTTCCCACACACACAAACACGTATCTGTCTATTAGACTGGCAGCTGTGGGGAGACACTAAAATAGAGAGCATTTGTGTGTGTTTAACTAAAGCCAATATAGAAGAATCCAAATTAGTCACAGACATCACCGACTTGCTGCATTAGCAAGCTGGTACAGGGTGACGCTCCCGTGCGTACGCACAAAGACAGATCTGCTTATGCAGCCAGGCATGTTAAACACCAGAAGCACGTTCTGACCGTCAGGGGAGGAATGAGTGAAGACGAAAGGAAAAATGGCTTTCGTCCTATTTTTAGCAAAATTGGGAGATGAGGCAAAAAAGCACAGATGTTTGGTGTGGTGATAATAAGAATGTATGAATTATGAATAGAAGTAGTGAGAGCATGTGGGGGGGGGAAAGCTGATTTTGTGCTGTTTCCTCATGTTTTGGTCCGTGGTTTGGGTCCGTAACCATGGCCGAGTGAACCTGATGGAACACCTCAGACACACACACATGCACACGCACACACACACACACACGGACAGAAACTGACAGCTGAGAGGTTCTCCTTCACCTCAGCTGCCTTCGTTGCTTTCTCGACAGCGATCCAGGGACTCCACTGAGACATAGCTGTCCCCCGCACAGCCAGCAGGGGTGCTGTCTTTAAGGAAAACCACCAAACTCAACACTGAGCTGCACGGCACACGCGCATCCAGAAGGGTGATGGGTTCGAATCCCGGGGGAAGCTGAATATGGATCTGAACCTGCACCATTTCGGTTAAGGCACCCTAATGTATATGTGGGCGAGGGCAGCTATCGCTGTATATTAGTGTCCTCTTCAGAGGAGCGATGTTCTTTTCATACGCAGATGAGGGAACAGAGGAAAAGAGCCGCATTAAATATCGGCCGTGGGAAAGTGGTGATGAATCTTTAACACAGAGTGGGTTGTAAAGGGATTTCATCTGGAAAACAGGCCCGTCCAATAGCATCACTGTCCCTCCCAATCTCAAACCTAATACGTCATATATGCAGGCGGGGGGAGGGGGGGGGTCGTCCCAGGACGCATCACAGCCAAATGCACACGGCAATTTCTGAGAGAGTGCGCTGCGACAGTTCAGGCAGGGAGAGCAATTGCTAAAAGCATAAAATGAAAAATATATTGCAGTTTCTAATCATTGCAATATGAAAAGAAATAAAGGTATGAATAATTAAAAATGTAACTGGATAAGCAAGCATTTGGGGGGCCCTAGTTTAATATCACTCAGCCCCTGAGAGAATGACGGGGAACCTGTATATGTGTGTGTGTGAGCGCAAACGTCGGGGTGGCTGCCAATATACCATACACAGAAGTATAGGGTTGGCATGGTAACAGGTCCGTATAAAAGTCAAGGCCTGAAGCGATAGGTTATGATATGAGAGGAAGGGAGAGGCGGGCTAGGGCGAGACAGCGTGAGGGAAGAGAGGAAGCTGTCATCGGAAAGGAAGTGACACGTGGGATGGAGCGTAAATATGGCGGGTCACACAGGCTCACAAATCCCGCCCACAGACACACGGCGGTTTGGTTACGCCCCCACGGACACGCACGTACAGTAACGACGATGACATGGTTGCGCAGTTTCCTCCGTAATTGCTTAATTACACTTAGCGTAAAATTGAAGAGAGAGATCAAATTAGCATGAATTCAATTACGCTTTTAATCAGCAGGAGACTGCTGGGAGATCCGGTCCAGCTCTTTCCAGGAGGAGATGTTTAATCATGGGATCTGTGGAGACTAAACCGAGCCCAAAGACTCGCGCTTAAGCTTTGTTGCCGATCAGGGCGTCGGGGTCGCCATGCTAATGTCTTTGTCGTACAGAACGAGCGGCGTGAGTCATCCACAACGTTAGAGCGATTGGTTTGAGAGACAGAATGCGCCCACGCTCACTGACTCCAGGTCAGTTTACACCGGAGTTTGCCCCTGTACAATCTCGAATGTAGCCGCCCACCTGTCGGAATGCTGAAGTTCCCGTGTGGATTTGCACGCCGTCTCTCCCCATCGCTATTAATGGTGCAGAAAGGTGCCTCAGTCCAGCCTTGTAATAAAATGACATTACTCACCTTAAAAATAATATCAGTAGCAGAAAGGCACCCAAAAATAGCGAAGAACAGTGACTCCCTCTTACTCCTCCCCCAACGCACATACGTTTGAGCTGATAGGACAGAGCACAAGTTGAGGGCGGGGCCATATCCGTCTACATCCGACTACTACTGCACAGTTACCTCCAAAACATAATTTTTAAAGCATGACACAGCACAGTAGGAAAGATCATCCAGGAATCAAGTCAAGCCAAGTAGAATCTTCAAAGGTACAACAGAAATTCCCATGCTGGGACTTGGGACCTGTTTGCTTGCCTTAAAACACTACACTGTATTACACCTATCACAGAACCGCTATGTCACCTGCAGGTCACATCATTTCAGTGAAGCGTAAAGTATGGCAGATAAGAAGCTGTCGTAATTCTCAAAGCGACTGGACGTCTGAGAGTCGGAATGGCGGAGTCTGTCCAAAGGACGTGGAGCTCTGGGTCAGGGGGAGTTTCTCTCAGCCCAAGGAAGGGACTCAAGAGCGAAAAACCATGAAGGACACAGCAGGCCAAATTAAGGAGCCG